ATGGGATCCACGTACGACAGAGGTATTGGAAGCATGCAGCGCTGCGCAAAGATATGCCTTCCATAATCCGATGATAATGCGCGCAATCGTACGTGTACAACAACGACCACTACGTCACATTCTTCAAGCACACACACCCTCCCTCGCCGACATCTGCTGACTCCTACACCTGTAGGAGTTGTCCCCATACCAGTAGCACCTGTACTTGCTGCCACATCGCCTGATGTATGCAACTCGGGAACTGTAGATTACAGTGCCTCGGAAACGCCTCCACCACTGTCTCGTTGCTACCCGACTACAGAATCTGACGACCCAATGACGGGACGATGCAAATACGACTCGTACACTCTCCTCTTTTTCAATGTACGATCAATTAAAAATAAAATGCACCTTCTAGGCCCCTTCATCCTTCTGTCAAGCTCGCATATGGTGTTGATAACAGAAACATGGCACTCGGCCGACGCTTCTGACGCACCGCTCCACATTCCAGGGTACACCACTTTCTGTAATGGACGCGCCAGTAAACGTGGTAGCGGATGCCTCATATACGTCAAGAACGAGTTTTCCCGCAATCATCTTTCCACACTATATCTCTTGGCAACTCTGTACACTCAGTCTGGATTCAGGTCGTTGGAGGTCATCCGGACCTCTTGATAGGCTGTTTATACAATCCACCGCACTCCTCTTGTGCTAGCGTTAACAAATTGGACAGACTCTTTTAGGAAGTCTCATTTCTCCCTTCACGCTATAAGATCATCGCTGGTGACTTCAATATGCCTCATGTTTCGTGGCTCGGACAGTTGGCCCCACCCAAGTACATGGCCCTTGTTGACACGATTTCCACTCATGAATGGACACAGCATGTGCATGTACCGACTAGACAATCGAACACACTGGACCTTATATTCACTAACGGGATCTCGCACGCATGCGCCAGTGTGTTAGACAACATACCGGGCAGCGATCACAAGGTGGTGAAGCTGTCCTTCGCGCTCCCTAAATCCCGTCAACATGCAGTCACGAAATATGAGATATTTCGGCCCCTCCAGCGCATTAACTGGGACATCTTCTCCTCCCTCCTGCGATCATCCCCCTGGGACGATTTCTTCCTCTCCGACAACATAGATACTGCGACCAACGTGCTTTACAACAATTTCACCAACCTCTTAGATGTCCTTACTCCAAAACAGAAGAAAATCAAAAGGCGTCAAAATCTTGATGACACCTCCACACGCAAACTGACCAGCAGGCTCAAGCAAATGCGCACCCGCTACATCAAGACCAAAAGCTTTCACCTAATCATCCGTATGAACGAGTTGCTAGCCGACTGGAGAAATTCACAAAGTACTGCGTGTACATTAGTAGAGCATGCAGCGCTTTGTACTGAAAACAAAGCAAAGTCTCTCATTCGACCACTGAAGCAGCGGGGTGGCAGAAAAGATATCCCGATTACTACCTCAGTGCTTCCTGATAAAAGTATAATTACTGGTGCGGTTGATCTCTGCGAGTTCATTAACACACATTTCTGTAAATAAATAAATAAATAAATAGTTTATTCTCTGTTTCACTAGCAATGACTTGGCACTGCCAAATACGATTCCCAAGTTCACTGAAGATCAAATTCATACTATTGACTTTGACTAATGCACTATTAAGCGAGCACTTTGTTCGTCGAAACTGTCACACCACCCAGGTCCTGACGGTTTGCCCTCTTCTATTTTAAAACTCGGAGGTCCGGACATTCCAGTCCTTCTCCTCAATGTCTTCACCCTCTCAATGAAGAGTGGTCACTACCCGTCCAACTGGAAGCACGCAACCGTCATACCACGACACAAACGAGGCTGTCGCCCAAATATTGACAATTATCGTCCAATTAGTCACACAGCTATTGCGTCTCGACTCATGGAAAGAATAATAAAGGACGCAATGCTTTGTTTAGAGGCTTGCCTGTACCGGGAGCCCAGAGAGCGATTCGAGAAGATGGATCGAGTTGCAGGGAAACTTTTATTGGTACAGTAAAAGATTCCCTGTTACCTAGCTATAAAAGAACGACACCGTGGACGCTCTAGCTAGGGGAAAGGATCAAGCACAGCACACAGGGCAGTTGCGCGTTGCAACCGAAGCGAGCGCCAAGCAAAAATGGCGATGAGCAAGTAAAGCATTCGAACTCAGCAAGCAGTGCAACAAACAACACCGGTTGCCTAAGTGTACAATTATAGAATTTTGGTTAGAATTTTACACAAGCAATCCGGGGAATCTCCAGGCTGCTACATAGCCCTCTCCTAGAAGGGACTGTGTAAGCAGTCCTTCGATCTACGTGAGGACTGCCCGTCGTGGGTCAGCTTTCTGCGAGACCAGGTTGTGAAACCTGATGCAGCTGCTGGGGGAGAACCATGCAATCGGACCCTAGCGGGCTCCCACCCGTGTCCTCCCTACGGTGTCGAAACGTTAAAAAAACTGTTTGTAGGGGGACAGTTAGTAGAGTTCACGTGGGCGGTTGAACAGGAAGTTCGTTCCACTTGCAGTCGACCTGCGGAGATCCAGCGAAAGTGAAACTGAGGCGCAACCAACCGGCGGTGTATATGGAAAGCAAAATGAAAAGCAGCGTAATTTCATAGCCATACACAAAAGAGTGTAAAGCGAAAACGTGCAAAGCTGTTTTTGGGTTTTCAAAAGGTTTTGCTCTTTTTTTAGTAATTTCAAAACGTTTTGATCTTGTTTTGTGGATTTTCAAAAACGTTTGGTAAGAGCAGAAAATTTTAAAGGCACGTTCTACGTAAAATAGTGAGTGCTAACAAAGTCTGAAAAACGAACTGGAGGCTTGAGCTTCCTACCGCGTCGATTGATAGTAGGGCGAGTAGGAGTGCCGTCGGTTGCGGTTGTCGGTTCTGCTGGAGCGGACTGACTCGTCTGAGGTTGCGGTGCCAGCTGTGATGGCACAGGCTGTGAAGGTGCTTGTTGCACCGAATAGTCAGACTTCTCGAAGAATGCTGGCTTGAGTCGATCCATGGTGATCGTCTCAGTGGTGTTGTGTCGTAGCTTGCGTATGCCGGGATCAGCTTGTTGGGCAGCAGCCATAGCGGCTAGATCAACCTTGGCGCCAGGCGATAAGCTGAACTGTTGAATGCGTGAAAGCGCATCCGCGACGGGATTGAGAGCACCTGAGACATATCGTACGTCTGTGGTAAATTGAGAAACGTAGTCTAGGTGTCTAGTTTCCCGCGAAGAATACTTGTCTGTTGCGCCATTGATTGCGTAGATCAATGGCTTGTGGTCGGTGAAGACTGTAAACTTTCGACCTTCGAGATAGTGACGGAAATGTCGGATACCTAGGTAGATAGCTAACAGTTCCCTACCGAAGGTGCTGTATCGCGATTCGGCAGGTTGTAAGCGCTTTGAGAAGAAACCTAGAGGTATCCATCGATGGTCGATGAGTTGTGAAGAACTGTGCCGACGGCAGTGTCTGATGCGTCAGTTGTCAGAGAGAGTGATGCAGACGTGTCTGGATGGGCGAGAAGCGCCATGTTGGAGACAGCGTCTTTGAGCTTCTCGAAAGACAATTTAGCGTCATCTGCAAAGTGAAAAGACCGCTGCTTACCGCGGAGCAAGTCAGTCATTGCTTGGACAATGCTCGCGCAGTTAGGTATAAAGCGTCTATAATAGTTGACCAGGCCAAGGAATCGGCGCAACTGCTTGAAGGAACTGGGAGCAGGATAGTCCTTCAGTGCCTGGATTTTGTCTGGCAGAGCTTCAATACCAGAGGCGGATATGCGGTGGCCAAGGAAGTCGATGGAACTTTGGCCAAGCTCGCATTTATCGGGGTTGACGGTAACCCCATGCTGGGTTAAGCGTTGGAAGAGAGCGTCGAGTTGATGAAGATGTTCTTCATCAGAAGAGCTCGCGATAAGAATGTCATCTAGATAAGGATAAACGCCTTCGAGTCCTCGCGTTACCTCATGAATGAAACGCTGAAAAGTTTGGGCAGCGTTGCTGAGGCCGAAAGGCATTCTGAGGTACTCGAATAGGCCGAATGGCGTGATGACTGCTGTTTTAGCAATGTCATCTGGCGCCACAGGTATCTGATGGTAGGCGCGAACTAGGTAGACTTTGCTAAAGATAGACTTGCCAGCTAGAGCTGAGGTCAAGTCGTGCATGTGCGGAATAGGGTATTTATCCGGGACGGTAACTTTGTTAAGTGCCCTGTAGTCACCACAAGGGCGCCAGTCACCGGATTTCTTCGGCACCATGTGTAATGGTGATGCCCATGGACTTTTGGATGGGCGGATTATTCCCAGTTCGAGCATTTGCTCGAATTCCGCCTTAGCAGCTTTGAGCTTGTCCGGGGCTAGTCGGCGAGGGCGGGCCGAAACAGGCGGGCCCTTAGTGCAAATGTAATGCATGACGTTTGACGTCACAGGAGGCAAGTCGTTCAGGACGCGAACGAGCTTAGGGTGCTTGCTGAAAAGTTCTAGAAAAGGCTGTGAAGCTTGAGGTAGGACACGA